TATTGTGGCTCCTTCTTGGTCTCCTTCCATCAGTGGTCTCTATTACCCCCCCCCCCAACCCCCCCCCCAAAAAAAAAATTGGGGTACCCTTAGACAGCCTCCTAAAGAGCAGATCTGCGTTGCCCTTTTGGTCCTGGGAGCCCTGCCCCCCCCCATGCATCCACGCTGGCCTCTTCCCTGCCTTTTGAGGCGCCGTCCCCGCTCTAACCCCCCTTTTTTGGAAACAGCCAGCCCTTGTTGTCCCCTTCTTTCCTACCTGCTAGCTCAAACCCCACAGCCCTCTTGACGTCTCTTTTCTTTCACGAGGGGAGATCTCCGCTCCAGGAGACCCCGGGGGGTGGCTTTTGCCAGGCCCCTTCCGCGCTGAATATTTCCCACACTAAATATTTCTGATCTCCGATCCCAGTAGTTTCCACCCCTCTCCCTGATCCCAAGCGGGGGCTCTGTTTCTGCCTTCCACAGAGACGGAACCCTTTTCTTCCCTCTGCCCCCAAGCTGATACCATTCATGGTCCGCCTCGGGCCCTTCCCTGGCCCGCCGAGAGCCCGGTCAGTTCTCTTTGCCGAGCGACTGAGAGACTTTCTGTTCCTCTCCAGCGTTGGCAGCGGTGGGTGGGTGGGGGGGGTGGATTCCACCCCTCAGTAATGCCTCCGGGGGGTCCATGAGACGGGAAGAAGGTGCTCACCCTTTGACGGACGCCCACCCGACTTGCCCGGCCATGGAGTGCGTGCAAGTGCCCCCGATGCAGCAGCAACAAGGGAAAGCTGCCGAGGGGGACCCTCTCCTGCTGCTGCTGCCTCCCGAGGTGCAGAAGGAGGAGGCTGAGGCAGTGCTGAGGGCTTCTGACCCCTGGGCTGCCTCCCAAGATGACAGCGGCCCAGGCGGGACGGGACTTCGAGACGCTGCGGACTTTTCATCACGTCTCCAAAATCCGGACGGCCTTCGCTCCTCGCCTATCTCTCCCGCTGTAGGGGGCCATCCCGATGGAGGTATGGTGGGCCGTTCTGCTACGACGGAGGGTTTGCAGGAGACTGGTGCTGAAGCCGGAGAGCCCTTGCAGCCAAATGGGAAAGAGACGTCAGGCCTTTCAGTCCAGGAGGATCTGTCGGTTGGTGCGGTGGCCCGTGGAGATGCCTCTTTGGCCACGGAGGCGGATATGACTGCCCGAGAATGCCTTAGGGACGCGGAAAAGTCTCCCCAGCAGAACAGCTGCTTGCAGGAGACATCGGACTCCCCCTCTCAGAACTGCAGCTTAGGCGTGGGCGCGGGAGCCGCTGGAGAATACCTGCGGGACGACCCGTTGGACCAGGCCTCTCCGCCTGTGGAAGACGGGAAGCTCAGACCTGGGGCCAAGCGGGTCACGTTCCCTTCTGACGACGACATCGTGTCGGGGGCTGTGGAGCCCAAAGACCCTTGGAGGCACGGTAAGCAGCGGGCGGCTCTTCTAGAGATCCTTCTGTTCTTGGGAATGAGTCAGGCTGGCCTTAACCCGTTACCTAAATCTATAGCCCGTGAGATTTGGTTTTAGCACCTGACCCTGTTTGCTTGGGTTTGAGTTCAACTTCTTCTTTCTTTTTTTGGGTGGTGGCAGTCAAGGCAACTTATGTTCGTGAAGGCAAAACATCCAATACAGAAACATGATAAAAATATACTCTGGTGGGGAAAAAATGGAATAGCTAAGCCAACAAACAAAGGCTCAATGGCAATGCTCCCTCTTAAGTCTAAGCCATGGATTCCTGTGAGCAAAAGTTCTACTTTGTGAGCCGCTGGCCTTAAAGTTGTGCGCGAGCCATTTGGCTGCTGAGTCAATCAGTTTGCTCTGGAGCCATCCCTTCTTGAGCCAAGACAAAAATGTGCGAGCCGGAGGCTAAACTGTATGCTAGCTCGCACTAATGCAGCTTAGAGGGAGCACTGCTCAAGAGACAGTAGCCACCAGTTTTTTGTTTTATTTATTTATTTTATACCCGGCTCTTCTCCTGATTAGGAGCTGCGGTGGCTCAAGTGGTTAAGATGCTGAACTGCAGGCTGTGGAAGGTCGGTAGTTCAGCAGTTCGAGACCCGAGTGTGCCGCACGACGGCGTGAGTTCCCGTCTCTAGTTCCAGCTCCTGCCAGCCTAGCAGTTCGAAAGCAAGAAACTGCAAGTAGATAAATAGGTACCACTTCGGTGGGAAGGGAACAGCGTTCCGTGCGCCTTGGTGTTTAGTCATGCCGGCCACATGACCACGGAAACGTCTTTGGACAGCGCTGGCTCTTCGGCTTGGAAACGGAGATGAGCACAGCAACCCTAAAGTCGGATTCGACTGGCTTTCGAGCTATTTATTTATTTATTCAACTTTTATCCCGCCCTTCCGCCGAAGCGGCTCACATTAAACATTAATAAAATCAACATAGATAAAACATTAATCCATAAAACAACTTACATAAATACAATAAATATAAGTAAAAGCGGTTCGGTAAATCATTACGACTGGACCTCGACCACATTGCTAACTACTTATACAAAATACATGTCTTAGGAGGTCGGCAGGCTTGGCTGGCATACCGTCGCTCTCACTGGTATGCCCGGCGGAAAAGCTCCGTCTTCACGGCCCTGCGGAATTGCTGGAGATCTCGCCGGGCCTGGACCTCACTAGGGTCGTTCCAATATGCTGGTGCAGCTAGCGAAAGTGCTCTAGACCTAGTTGTTGTCAACCTGGCCTCTTTAGGGCCAGGAAGGGTCAGGCGATGTTGCATCCCAGATCTCAGTGCTCTCTGGGGAACGTACGGGGAAAGGCGGTCCCTCAGGTAGACCGGTCCCTGACCAGCAAGGGAACCTTTACCTTTGACCTTTCTCCTGATTGGGGACCCGAAGAGGCTCATGGCATTCTCCTCTCCTCCATTTTATCCTCGCCACAACCCTGTCAGGTCCGTTAGGCTGAGAAGGTGTGACTAGCAGGGGGTCGTCCGGCGAGCTTCCCTGGCAGACGTGAGGATTCGAACCTGGATTTATTGATCACTCATCCTGCAGAGCTGCTGGCTCTGAGCGATTTACAGTTACTCAAGTTTTCACACGGGACTAACAATGATTCACAGGGTAAGGGAGGACAACATATAATTCTTTAAATCGCACACTTTTTGCGGCTGACGGGGATTTTGTTCAGCTGTAAGCTTCAGGCGTGTTCCGGACGGCATTCGCTTTCGGCTTGGCTGGATGACGTCAGTTCTTCCAGGACTGCTTTGAGTCGTAGCGCCGCACCGCCACCACCTTAACCACTATGCCACACCGGCTCTCAGTTACTGTGCCAGTGCTGAGAAGCGGTGGTAGGAGGGAGGCCCTGGCCACCACCGTGCCTTTCCTGTAGGTCTTCCGGGGCCATTTGGTCGGCCACCGAGTGAAGTCGGATGATGGATTAGACGGGCCACTGGTGTGAGCCGGCGTGGCTGTTCTTATGGCGCTAAGCCTTCTGGAGCCGCTGAAAACTTTGAAAAACAGGAAAGTCTCCTCTTGCCGGTGAGAAAAGTTTTATCAGGAGGCGATCTGGTGGTTCCCCCTTGGGGTGGAGAGTTCTGTAACAGGGCCTTGTAGAGAACACCCTGCTCTTTACCCTCCGGGAGAGCCTTCAATCAAGGGAACAGGGCCTCTCTATCTGATTTAAGAGGACAGGGGAACGCATTCTGGGAAGTGCTCTCTAAGGTCCCGAAGGCCCAGTTTGAAAGCATTACGTTTAGGTTCGGCGGGATCGCTCGGGTCTTTTTACTGCCTCTACTCCTATGCGCTTGGGCAGACCGACCGTGTAGCAGGTGACTCGATATCTCCATACCAGGGGGAAATTTGTTCCCCTGATTTCTCTGTCCCCGGCCGCCGCCAAAATCACAAGAGCAGTTAAAAACGTCGACGTTCCGAAGCTTAACGTCGAACGACCGAAACGATCCGTGCCGAAGGACTCGGCCACACGCTTTTTAACCAGGGAAGGAGAACTTAAAAGTTTCCTGCTTCTCGTTCGGGGAACTCTTTGCAGCCCAAAGAAGGGATTGTTAATACTTGTTTCCCAGTGAGCATGAGACATGGGAAGAAGTAAGCAACCTTCAGACTTTTATTTCTCCTTTCTGGGCCGGAACCCTGCTACAGAGAAGGATTCCCAAGAATATTTTCCTCTTTGCATTTTCCTTCCTGGAGGCTTTTAAATCTAAGCACGGCTTCCATCTGGCTGGGTAGTTTCAGGCGGATAGCTGCGTTAGTCTGCAGTAGAAGTGGAAGTTCAAGTCCAGTAGCACCTTATCAAACAAAGGGAGCTCTGTCTCTCAACATTTATTTATTTATTTCAATTTCTTCGCCACCCTTCCCTGCTTACGCAGGGCCCAGGGCAGTTTATGGCAATGTGAAATTCCGTGTGCCTCGGCGTTTAGTCATGCCGGCCACATGACCACAGAAACGTCTTCGGACAGCGCCGGCTCTTCGGCTTGGAAACGGAGACGAGCACCGCAACCCTACAGTCGGACTTGACTGGCTTTCGAGCCAGGGAGACCTTGACCTTTACAGATTTTAAAAAACCAGTTAAAGCTACAAAAATTCCGTGCAAAAACATTCAGCCATAAGTATTTGAACACTTTAACAAGACATTGTTGAGCATTCGGATTTTCATGAGGGGGAGGGGAGGGTGCCGGGCAGATTTAGAAGAACCGTCGCTGGCCTCAGTCGAAGGCCTGGCGGAACACCTCTGCCTTGCGTGCCCGGTGGAACTTTAATAGATCAGGCAGGACGCAGATGTCATCGGGCCAAGTTCCACCAGGCCGGGGCCAGGGCTGAGATTCTTTGGGGCTGGGAATCACCAGGAGATTTTGGTGCCCCATACCCTGGAAATCTTGTTGGCTTTAAGGTGCCGCTGCACCCAAGCCTCCTTCTTCATCTCGCCAAATTCGTTTCCCTTCCTTCGCAGCAATTTTGCTTTGGTTCCTCTTCCCCTCTCCTTCCCGTTTTTTTTTTGGGGGGGGGGCACTGCCTTCTCTTCTTCACTGGCCGAAACGGTCACATCCAGAACTGTAGAAGAAGAAGAAGAGATTGGATTTATACCCCGCCCTTCACTACCCAAAGGTGTCTCAGAGCGGCTCACAAACTCCTTTCCCTCCCCCTCCCCACAACAGACAGCCTGTGAGCAGTGTTCCCTCTAAGCTGAGTTAGTGTGAGCTAGCTCACAGTTTTTTAGCCTCCGGCTCACACCTTTTTGTCTGAGCGCAGGAGGGATGGGCTCCAGAGCAAACTGATTTATGCCGTAGCCGAATTACCTGCTCACAACTTTAATGCCGGTCGCTCACAAAGTAGAATTTTTGCTCACAAGACTCGATAGCTTAGAGGGAACATTGCCTGTGAGGGAGGCGGGGCTGAGAGAGCTCTTGACAGGAACTGCTCTTTATCGAGAACAGCTCTTATCAGAACTACAGCTTGCCCAAGGTCATCCAGCCAGGTGCAAGTGGAGGAGTGGGGAATCAAACCCAGCTCTCCCAGATTAGAGTCTGCGCACTTAACACACTACACCAAACTGGCTCTCTAAACCTGCACGGCCCCAAACGCTGAGACAAAAATTCAGGGAATTTCCTTCATTGTCGCAGCTCTGCCGTCACATGCCTGGGGTGCTTTTCAGACAAGCGTCTCATTCATTCTCGCAAGCGCACGGAGGTAGGACTGCTGATTTTTATTGTGGAAGAACTGAGCGGAAGAGACTGACCTGGCCCAAGCCATTCAGTGGCTGTCTCTGGGCAACTGCTGGAAGCTAGTGCAATCCCTAACATGGGAGAACCGGGTTTGATTTCCCAGTCCTCCACATGCAGCTGTTGGTGTGACCTTGGCTCTTCTCTCAGAGCTGTTCTCTCATGGGTGCCTGTTGTGGGGCGGGGAGGGGAAGGGAAAGGAGATTGTAAACCGCTCTGAGGCTCCTTCAGGTAGCGAAAGGCGAGGTATAAATCCAATCTCTTCTTCTCTTCTTCTGCCAGTCCATGCCAGTTTGGCCAACGTTTTTGTAACTCGGTATAAGGTGTAGCATTCCCTTAACTGATAACTGAAAAGCCTACAGTATCTCATTAATTTTAAGGAGAGCAGGGTGTCAGCTGAATACCTCTCCATAGTTGTGCCAACCGGTGGAAAGCCAGTGTGGTATGGTGTGGTTAGAGTGTTAGACTAGGATCCGGGAGACTCCAGGTTCGAATCCCCACTCTGCCGTGAAAGCTTGTGAGAAACATAGAGCTGGAAGGGATCTCAGTGGTCATCTAGTCCAACCCCTTGCAGAATGCCAGAAATTCTCCCGCTCTATGCCCAGAGGAACGCAAAAAGCTTCCAGGATTCCTGCGCCAATTTGGCCTGGAGGAAAATTGCTTCCTAACCCCAAATCCTCCTCCTTTGGAGGTTTTCAAACAGAGGCTGGATGGCCATCCGACAGCAATGCTGATTCC